TGTGGCATGGGCTTAGCTTTTTGTGGCATAGGCTTAGCTTTTTGTGGCATAGGCTTAGCTATTTGTGGCATAGGCTTAGCTTTTTGTGGCATAGGCTTAGCTTTTTGTGGCATAGGCTTAGCTTTTTGTGGCATAGCTATTTGTGGCATAGGCTTAGCTTTTTGTGGCATAGGCTTAGCTTTTTGTGGCATAGGCTTAGCTATTTGTGGCATAGGCTTAGCTTTTTGTGGCATAGGCTTAGCTTTTTGTGGCATAGGCTTAGCTTTTTGTGGCATAGGCTTAGCTATTTGTGGCATAGGCTTAGCTTTTTGTGGCATAGGCTTAGCTTTTTGTGGCATAGCTATTTGTGGCATAGGCTTAGCTATTTGTGGCATAGGCTTAGCTATTTGTGGCATAGGCTTAGCTATTTGTGGCATAGGCTTAGCTATTTGTGGCATGGGCTTAGCTTTTTGTGGCATAGGCTTAGCTATTTGTGGCATAGGCTTAGCTATTTGTGGCATAGGCTTAGCTATTTGTGTCATAGGCTTAGCTATTTGTGGCATAGGCTTAGCTTTTTGTGGCATAGGCTTAGCTATTTATGGCATAGGCTTAGCTTTTTGTGGCATAGGCTTAGCTATTTGTGGCATAGGCTTAGCTATTTGTGGCATAGGCTTAGCTATTTGTGGCATAGGCTTAGCTTTTTGTGGCATAGGCTTAGCTTTTTGTGGCATAGGCTTAGCTATTTGTGGCATAGGCTTAGCTATTTGTGGCATGGGCTTAGCTATTTGTGGCATAGGCTTAGCTATTCGTGGCATACGCTTAGCTATTTATGGCATAGGCTTAGCTTTTTGTGGCATACGCTTAGCTATTTATGGCATAGGCTTAGCTTTTTGTGGCATAGCTATTTGTGGCATAGGCTTAGCTATTTGTGGCATAGGCTTAGCTATTTGTGGCATAGGCTTAGCTATTTGTGGCATGGGCTTAGCTATTTGTGGCATAGGCTTAGCTATTTGTGGCATAGGCTTAGCTATTTGTGGCATAGGCTTAGCTTTTTGTGGCATAGGCTTAGCTTTTTGTGGCATAGGCTTAGCTATTTGTGGCATAGGCTTAGCTTTTTGTGGCATAGGCTTAGCTTTTTGTGGCATAGGCTTAGCTTTTTGTGGCATAGCTATTTGTGGCATAGGCTTAGCTATTTGTGGCATAGGCTTAGCTATTTGCCGGCATAGGCTTAGCTATTTGTGGCATAGGCTTAGCTATTTATGGCATAGGCTTAGCTTTTTGTGGCATAGGCTTAGCTATTTATGGCATAGGCTTAGCTTTTTGTGGCATAGGCTTAGCTTTTTGTGGCATAGCTATTTGTGGCATAGGCTTAGCTATTTGCGGCATAGGCTTAGCTATTTGTGGCATAGGCTTAGCTATTTGTGGCATACGCTTAGCTATTTATGGCATAGGCTTAGCTAGTTATGGCATAGGCTTAGCTATATTTGTGGCATAGGCTTATCTATTTGTGGCATAGGCTTAAACACTATAAAACGTTTGCTTACCACGATGCTGAAAAAGGGATACTGGAGACGTTCCCGATTAAAAACAAAAGAAACTCGAAAAATTAAAACTCAACATTTTTGGATTGAAATTATATTAATACTAATAATAGAAATTGAGATTCTGTATTATACCGACTGTTGAAAAGTAACAAACAAAACAAAACTACAGTAATCCGAACAATAAGAAGAAACAATTATATTTATGGTTGAAGATCAACTGGGTGGGTGTAGCTTCCTTGTTGCCATTTCTGAAATATGGTAATAGTTCTCTGGTTCTCATTTTTAACTCACAGAAGGTGCATTTCTTCTCCAGTGTTCTGGAGTTACATATCTTACGCGTCGAAACTGGACTCCACCGCGACCACGAACCGCAATCCCGAAATCGTCTTTGCGATCTGCGCGTTGAGTCCGACGATTACGGTCTCCGCGAGAATTCGCCTAATTGATTATACTAATTCCCAAGCTTCATTTGAATACCTACCATATGACCGCGACGAGTTTCATAATTATTCGAAGGAGATTTGCTCCTAGATCTCACTCTTGAACTTTCCGTTTTTGATGAAAAATCGGACTCTCTTTCTTCATTGTCACGATACAACCACGACTTGGGAATGTCAGGAATATCTTTCTTCGCTTCCTGTCTTTTTCTCTCCTCCAGTGCAGCTAGTTCTTCTTTAGTTTTAGATGGCTTCTTCTTCTTCACCAATTCACCGCTATTAAAAATTCGAACCTTCGCGATGGGTTTCGATTTTCCGTCCACCTCGAGATTGTCGAGCACATCCACAACTTCCCGACCTTTAATAACCTACAAAACAGTGAATATGATTCTTTCTAAAGGATCCATACCTCCCCGAAAACGACATGTTTTCCATTACAGTGTGGTGCGGGTGCTGTCGTGATGAAAAATTGGGAAGAATTGGAATTCGGTCCTTTGTTAGCCATAGACAGTAAGTAAGGTTTTGAATGTTTCAGCACGAACTTTTCATCATCAAAGTACCGACCGTAGATTGAAAATCCTCCTCTTCCATCTCCGTCGGTGATGTCTCCTCCCTACAAAAAATATATTACTGCTGTGATAAGACATTTCGAAAACCTGAATCATGAACTTTTTGACTACTCGATGAATCTCATTTCCCTTGTAATGCAGACGAGCTTTATTGTTCGGAGCCATTCCTACTTCTCCAGTACACAGCGCTCGAAAATTTTCGCATGTTTTTGGTGCTGTAAAAACCCATTTTTAAAAGCTGTTTATTTGAGATATTCAACCTTCGGAAGTGAACAGCTTGATTTCGATACGTCCAATAGGCTTTTCGTCAAGCGCCATGTCCAGAAAAACTCTTTTTTCCAGGGAACTCATCGCTTGTCCTGATTTTCGAGAATTAGGGAGCTTAAGATGTTATTAAGAAATATGGGTAACACAGAAGAGTCAACAAAAAAAGACGAGTTGATAATAATTTTAGAATACTTTATTACTTTGGGTGGGAAAAAAACGAGTAATCACAATAAAACACCGTTTCTGAAACAATAAATAACAGATAGAAGTTTAATATTTAAAGCTCTTCGTGCTCCTGAGATACAGATTCTGAACCAGCATACTTGTTGACGAACTCTTCGAACTTTTCGAGGTTTCTATCTCCGTCATAGTCCACTGGGGTAGAAGATCCAGCAGGCCAGAGTTTCAGTGTTGGGAAGGAGTTGACCTTGATATCAGCGAGCTGAAAAACAAAAATGTTAATATGGTATAGCAAAGATATAAATACCTCATTAAGAGTGGCATCGAGTTTAGCAATGACGACGTTTGGATTGGACTCATATTTCTCAGCCAGCTCATCCCAAACTGGAACGAGTTGCTTGCAGTGTCCGCACCATGGAGCATAGAACTTCACAAAGACAGTCTTTGATTCATCAAGAGCGATTTCGTTGAAGTTGGATGCAACCAAAACCTTCACTGGCTGTGAGTCCCAGTCTTCTGGAAGATCTTGGGCTTTCAAGTCTTGGGTAGATTTTCCATCAAGATAGCTGTTAGTGAAAGCCTCATAGTCTTCTCCGTCTTGTGGCTTGAATTTCTCGACTTGATCGGCCAAACTGACGATTCTGTTGGCTGGGGTCTTCTTGGCATCAACTCCGAGGAATTCGAGGATTCTTCCATTCTCTTCAACGTCGACATCAAGGAGAACAAAGATAACCTTGGCGCGGAACAGTTTGGCAACCTCAGTGAACTTGGCGATAGTTTCATCGAAGGAAGAGTCAGACTTTCTGATGATCAAAAAGTGGAACTTCTTAAGGTCTCCTCCAACAATTTCTTGAGCAGAATCATGGGTGAACTCAGTGACTGGAGAGAGCTTGTAAGCATGAATCCATTGCTTGAGGGTGACCGAGTTGGTAATTTCAGATTCTACGATGGTGTTGGTCTCGCTGTCGTCACCATCGGTGCGAATCAGTGAAACTCCGTCAGCCTCAAGAGTAGCGGAAGCAGCAACATCAGCGGATCCGGCAACAGCGAAGAAGATATCGTCAACTGAATCAGCGACCTCATTGAAAATCGTTGCAGCTTCAGACTTAGCATCCTAAATGTCAAATAATAATAAACCTATGCAACTGATCAAGTGTACCTTGAAATATCCTAGAACAACGACTCTGTTCTTGCTCTTCAACTCATTGAGTTGCTCAGCAGTTTCAACGGTAGTGACAGTTGGTCCACTCTTCTTCTTGACCCAATCGACAATTTGAGCAGTTGCTCGTCCACCGGTGTACTTCGTTGGCTTTCCACTCTTGAAATAAAGAATCGTTGGATATCCGCGGACCTCAAACTTCGATGCAAGAGCCTGGTTCTCAGTGGCGTCGACTTTAGCAAGTTTGATATCCGATCCTTCCTCTTTCAGAATATCGGCGGCTTCATCGTACTTTGGAGCGAGAGATTTGCAGTGTCCACACCATGGAGCATAGAACTTGACCAACACAAACTCGTTTCCATTGATAGTTTCTTCGAAGTTGCTCTACAAAAGTAGATTTACGAAAACTTTGCGATTTTGATAGTTACCTCTGTGAGAACAAGGACGTTCTCGCTATCAGCACTCACTGCCGCGATGGAAACGGCGAGAAGTAAAATGAAGGATGTAGATGGTGACATAATTACCTGGAAAGAAACCAGGTACAAAGAGTCTAAAAAGAAGAAAAAAACACAGCATTGATAAAGATTTTTCAACAGAGTTATCCGTTGCTTGGCACGGTCAATAAAGAGGAAGTATCGTCTATTGACACTAGGTCAGAGTGTCGTTCGGAAAGAAAGTCAATGGTCACAAAAACGCTCTCTCAAGCAACTGCGAGACAAAAAAAAAAGGGGAGAAGAAGCAAACTGTGTGTAGGAAAAGAGAGGAAAAGAAAGAGGCGGCGGCCGCTGGGGGGAGATGATGTGGACCGCAACTACAAGACGATGGCGGTGTGCAGTTTTGACACGTCAGCATACGCATGCGTGAACGGTTAGAACACGTGTACGTAAGACGGGAAAACTATAATTTATGAGAACTCACGCGATAAACACACGCGATGAATGACTTGGAGACGTGGGAACTATGAAATTCGCGGGAACTTTTGGGTCAAAAATTTTCAAAAACAATTCGAGATCAAAAAATCGAAACATCTCTACAGTACATATTATTGAAGAAGGTTCAGAACAGAGAATTTACGAAATTGCGTTAATTTAGCAAAATGCGCAGACACTATAACACAGTTTCTGAAGTTATTCTTCAGCAAAGTAGATGCTTCTGAGTCTAGGCGGTTGCAAAACTCATAAAAAATCGAATACAAAAAAAATATTTGAATATCATGGTTTGGCGCGAAAGCTGAAAGCTGTCGTGGACTCCTCGAGGAAAACCAATAGTGAGGTCTTAAACGGAATTTCGTTTTAAAATTGTTTCACATTTTCTTTTCTACATTAATTCCAGTATAGTTTGCTTGTATCTGGTATTTCAGACTCTGCAATGCGGATTTTGCTGTTCGCCTCACTCATCACTTCTGCAATTGGCTTCTATATGAAGAATACTACCGGAAACGGCGACACGACGTTTGCCAATGCGCCAAGAGCAGCAGAATTGAGGTCGAAAGTATGATAAAGGAATCAAAATTCTAAATAGATTTTTTATATTAATACAGACGAATAGTATCGAATTGTTCGGTCAGCGTATGGAAGTCCCGGACTGGGTAAATTCGGCAGCTGAGAAAACAAGAGGAATGTTTGATTCTGCGTCGAATCTTTTCGGAAAGGACACAGTAAGTATATAACATTAGTTGGGGGAGGACTTATATTGACACACTTGCTTTTAGGCCACGTCGCGCAAGTCGCAGGACGGCTTGATGACGAATCTGAAGAAGGACGAAAGCACCAGGATCTGGTTTGCAGTTTACCTCAACATTCTTGTTGTTGTTCTGATTTACGTTTTCATCACGATCAAGCTGGTACACTAGACAGAATTATTTTCAGCAAAAAGAATGTGGTTTCAGGCACTATTGTCGCTCAGTGAGGGCCAAATGGAAAGAAAAAAAAGAAACGCATACAGCTCGCACGTTGCTTTTGATGGTCCTGACTACAATCTCCCTTTGACAAGTATCGCAACTAAAACCAACGCCATATCAAGTGCTCCGATGTCTATCGATAACCCCATGCCCGATTTCGAATATGCCAGAGAAGCACAAGAGGACGAATCTCTACACAATGTTACACCTCTCGATTTCGATGCCATTCCTTCTTCTGAACGAAACGATGATAGATCGTTTTGAAAAGAACTTCAAACTCTATGTGAATAACACAATCACTAATCTCAATTAATTTGCCAATACTTTACCGCACGGGACAATTTCAATAAAATTTGATTTTCTTGTATTGGCTTTTTTGACACAAGACTCCTGTGACAGGAGTAAAATACGGTTGAATGGAATGACCTTGTCCTCTATTTCGATGAAAAAAAATTGGGTTATGTCTTCTCATAGAACATGCGTCTTAAGAAGCGCGTCTTGACAAATTCCCATTGATGAAAAACCCAAAAATATAAATAAAATGAAATTCAGGTCATCTCAAGCCGATTATCACGACCACTGACCAATAAGCCTTGTCAATCTGACTATTTGAACTAGAAAGTTCTAAAGTACATCAGTGTATATTAGGATAAGAATTTCAATTTCGACGAACGGTCGTTTGCACTTTGCAAACGGATTTTACATAAATTCAGTTTCAGGTTTTCACTGGGCATGGTTATTCAACAATCACTCCCAAGTTCGAATCTCATTTCGAAACTGCAAGAGATCAGACTATCCACGGAGTTCTCCGTTCAGATGACTTTTCGATAAGAGGTCCTGCTGATGGGTGACCTACTATCCTAATATCAAAAGTGAATTATATTTTACAGCATTTGTATGGAATAAAATGGAGGTGGTGGATTTGAACCTCATCCGGATGTTTCGAAATGCTTTGCCTTCTCTTACTCCCCCAGTTCTATTCTCATCTTCATTGATCTTGTTGGCCACGGAATCAAACCCTGGGTGATGAATTATGTCCGACCTAAAATCCGTATCAGTCAAAAAGTGAATCATCGCCATGATTGCTCCGCAAGACTGTCATTTGCTGTCCAATTGAACCATAATAAAAATTGGATTCGAGAAGTGGGAATGCGACTGACGAGAACGTTGATGAAAAGCGATTCAAGTCGATTAATAAAAAATGGGAGCAGTGGACTGAAAGTAAATGGGAAGGCTGGGTTCTGGAATTGGATAATTATCCATCAGGAATGCGTCATTTAGCAGTTTTAAATGAAGGATATGATTGTTGTTTCTGAGCAGGACATTATGGCCCGAAAATTGCTAATATTCAAATCCAGATTATCATGCCAGAGACTCCCATGTCGAAGCAGGTATAAAAAAAACTACCAAATATCACAATTCTTATTCCTAATAAGTTTTTGAACACAATCGAGAAAAAACGAAAACCACATGATAAAAGTAGGAATGTTTCGTAACACATTCGCCGTCTGCGTCTCCAATTTCCTCGTTCTATGACTCATTCTATCCCCTCGAAGGGTATTTAAAAACGAATATCTTTTCACCCCAACACAATGTTAAGAGCGATTTCTAACATTTTCCAGAGCTTGCAGCCAAACAAAACTGAAATGTGGATGTAAGTTGAGATTTGTTTTTTTTTAATCACTTGGTTTTTTCTTTCCAGTGATGCTGAAAACGTCTCCAACGAGGGCTTCGTTCATGTTTTCCATCATCTTGACAAAAAGTCTTTGGTTAACTGTATTTTAGTAAGTATTAATATTTTTAATAGAATCCGAATCAAGACAACTCCAGTAATTACTGGCTAAAACAATACATGTATTCGAATTTTGAGCATTTAAAAAAGTATATTTTCAGGCGTGTCGCCGCTTCCAGAAACTCATATCAAATGACTCATTTTGGGTGGAACATGCTCGTCTTAATGGAACGACTGACGTTCTGCCACCATTGAATTGGAGACGTGCAGTGACTCAGAAAAAGTTTGATGGTAACGGTGATGGTCAAATCCAAGTAACGAATCTCAATTTTGATATGAAGCGAATGGTTGGTTTCCACTCTGCAGATGGATGTCTCATAAATCGAGTTTCAGGTTTTCACTGGGCATGGTTATTCAACAATCACTCCCAAGTTCGAATCTCATTTCGAAAATGCAAGAGATCAGACTATCCGCGGAGTGCTCCGTTCAGATGATTTTTTGATAAGAGGACCTGCTGATGGGTGAGAAACTATCCTAATTTCAACCATATGTGATATTTTACAGCATCCGCATGGAGACCGTTGAAGGTCATCCTGATATTTCGAAATGCTTTGCCTTCTCCTACACATCCGGTGCTATTCTTGTCTTCATTGATTTTGTCAGCCACGGAATCGATCCCTGGGTGATGGACTATGTCCGACCTAAAATCCGCATCAGTCAAAAAGTGAGCCATCGCAATGATTGCTCCGCAAGACTGTCATTCGCTGTCCAGTTGAACTATAATGAAACTCAGTGGATTCAAGAAATCGGAATGCGTCAGACTAACGAGAACGTTGACCAAAAGCGATTCAAGTCTGTTAACAAAGAATGGGAACAGTGGTCTGGAAGTGAATGGGAAGATTGGGTTCTGGAACTGGATGGTTATCCATCAGGAATGCGCCATTTGACAGTCCTAAATGAAGGAAAAGATGGCCTTTTCTGGGCAGGACATTATGGTCCGAAAGTTGCAAATATCCAAATCCAGATAATCATGCCGGAGACTCCTATGCTGAAGCAGCTAGCTGCTGATACAGAGAAGTGTCGCGAAGATGAAGCACCAGTTGCCGTAGAAGAAGAGAACAGATTTGGATTTGGAGGGCATCGTCTTCGTCTCAGACATGGAATGTGGGCTGTCCCGCCTGCTCAATTCCGAGAAATGGAAGACGATGAAGATGAATAATTTATCGGACTACAAAAATAAATTTGTATATTGCTTTTTCCTTTACTGTAGTTTTATACTACAAGAAATAGTATTCTCGATTATTCAATAAACATTCCAAGTAACCTATTTTATTAACTTTTTCAATAGCAAAAGTTATTTCTTGATGACCGTACAAGTCGGCATAATTATGAATGTGCATAATAAATTCAACTCAAAACGAGGCGTTGAGGCCCGCCGATTGGTCTCTTTGGTCTCTAGAGATGATTTGCTCGTCTTTTGTTGGGTTTGGTGTTTGCGTCGATTCGCTTACTTTGCACCGAAATTGACGACTATTCTTTCATTCAAACAGATCTCAAATGTTCCTTGTGAAGTTATTAACTTTTATTCCAAGTGAAAGTGTTTGATTTAATTAAAATATGAATTTTCCAGATGGATCCTGCTCAAAATCAACCGAACACTGAACCTCCAGCAGCTCCTGCCGTGGAGGAAGCCCAAGGCGTGAACAATTCTGAAGCCGAAGCTCCTGCACCAGTGAGTTACTAGAAAACAAATTTTATTTATTAAGGAAGAATTATATTAGTCAAATTTATAGGCTGCACTATCATCAGTTTCTCCCGCCAATCCACCAATCACCGCAGTGCCGGAAGCCACTGCTCCCACTACAAGCCAAGAAAGCACGATTCCTGGAGCTGGATACAAACTGATATCGACAATTGAAGGGCACACCAAATCGATTTCAGCTGTGAAGTTTTCGCCATGTGGAAAGTTTCTCGGAACAAGCAGTGCCGATAAAACCGTAAAAATATGGAACATGTCTGACTTGAGTTGTGAAAGAACGGTAAGTGTATCTAAGAAAATCAGCTGCAGAATTTTATTTTTCAGCTGACTGGTCACAAGCTCGGAGTAAACGATTTTGCCTGGAGTGCTGACAGTAAATCGATTGTCACCGCATCCGATGACAAAACGCTGAAGATTTACGAAGTACCCACAGTAAAAATGGCGAAAACACTGAAAGGACACACCAATTATGTATTTTGCTGTAACTTCAACCCGCAGTCATCTCTCGTGGTCTCTGGATCGTTTGACGAGTCTGTCAGAATATGGGATGTCCGAACCGGAATGTGTGTTAAAACACTCCCAGCTCATTCTGATCCCGTCTCTGCGGTTTCTTTCAATCGCGATGGAAGTCTCATTACGTCTGGTTCGTATGATGGTTTGGTTCGAATCTGGGATACTGCCAACGGTCAATGTGTAAAAACACTGGTGGATGATGAGAACCCACCAGTTGCATTCGTGAAGTTCTCTCCAAACGGAAAGTACATCCTGTCGTCAAATCTTGATAACACTCTAAAATTGTGGGATTTCGGAAAAGGAAAAACTCTGAAGCAGTACCAAGGTCATGAAAACAACAAGTACTGCATTTTTGCAAACTTTTCGGTAACTGGTGGAAAATGGATCATCAGCGGCTCAGAAGATTGTAAAATATACGTCTGGAATCTTCAGACAAAGGAGGTTGTACAATCTCTCGAGGGACATACACGTGAGTTCTTGACAGTGCTTCGATTTTACAGTAACCTTTTTCAGAAGCTGTGATAGCTTCCGATTGTCATCCAATGCAAAATATGATCGCGTCCGGAGCACTCGAACCAGATAATACTATCCGCATTTGGCGTTCGGATTCCTAAAAAATTAAATAACATTCGTAATATGTATTCCCATTTCTTGTCTGTGTGGGCACCGTGTGTAAGAGTTGTTCTCCAAGGATTGTCAAACTTTGATCTCCCCCACCTGATTCTGATTCCCTTTTTAGAGACACGGTGACCCTGTTTTTGATTAAATTTGCTAATTTTCTTAACTGTCTTATAAATATTCAAATAAATTTCATAGACATTTGTACTGGATTTTTTTGGATCATAACGTATTTTGTTCCGATCGTACTTTAAAAACAATGATCGCAAATACAGAACTAATTGCTTCCAGAATGGTGACTCGAGCGACACAAATTTCAACACTCGTTGAAGAAATCGCAAACGATCCCAATCTCAAGGAAGATTTGAAAATCGTAAGAATCTGATCTTTGAGTTAATGGCGCGTTCAAAGTTGATTTCCAGGAGTAATTTCCTGGAAAAACGCTGTCCAAAGCTGTCATTGTTTTCCAGAGGCCTCCGCTTCGAGACCCGCCGTAAATCGACATGAATCAACAGGAAGAAAACATTCAAAACGAGGGATACAGTAGTTTACTGTTGCTGTAAATCTGGAAAACAATCGCAGCTTTGGACAGCTTTTTTCCAGGAAATTACTCCTGAAATCAACTTTGAACGCGACATAAAGAAAATTTTGGGTTCCAATTTCAGCTTCCTGCTAACTACACTTTCGAAGTTCCTAAAACTATATGGAAAATTCGATCCACGAATAGTAAATATGTGGCTCTTCAGTTCCCGGAGGGTCTCATTATGTATGCATGTGTGATTGCCGATCTTCTTGAGAAGTATACTGGATGTGATACAGTTATCATGGGAGACGTCACCTATGGCGCCTGCTGTGTTGATGACTACACTGCCAAATCTATGGGATGTGATCTTTTAGTTCATTACGGGCACAGTTGTTTGGTGCCGATCCAAAATACTGAAGGAATCGGAATGCTCTACGTGTTTGTGAATATCAATATCAATTTGTCTCATTTGATTGATTGTGTTCGAGATAATTTCCAAGTGAGGATCTTCTGAACTGTATCGTTTAAAACTTTGATTTTCTAGGGAAAACGGTTGGCTGTTGTGAGCACTGTGCAGTTCATTCCGTCTCTCCAAACTCTGCGAACCACTTTCAATACAGATGATAGTTCTATCCAAATCGATATTCCACAGTGCAAACCGTTATCTCCTGGAGAAGTTCTTGGTTGCACATCACCCCGATTAGATGCATCCAAATACGACGCGATCGTTTATCTAGGCGATGGAAGATTTCATTTAGAATCTATTATGATTCATAATCCAGCGATTGAAGCTTTTCAATATGATCCATATTCTCGAAAGCTATCTCGAGAATATTATGATCATGATTTGATGCGAAAAAATCGACTGGGTGCTGTTGAAATTGCTAAAAATTGCCAGACATTTGGACTGATTCAAGGAACACTTGGACGTCAAGGCAATCTGAAAGTAGTGGAAGAGTTAGAAGCACAGTTGACTAGAAAAGGGAAGAAGTTCTTGAGGGTCTTACTTTCGGAAATTTTCCCCGAAAAACTTGCAATGTTTCCCGAAATCGATTGCTGGGTTCAAGTAGCTTGTCCTCGGTTATCCATCGACTGGGGAACGCAGTTTCCTAAACCTTTACTCTATCCATTTGAACTGGCTGTAGCTTTGGACAATGTGAGTTTCTGATGGAAAAAGCTGATTCTCATCATAAATAATACTACAGATTTCGGTTCCCCAAGATCATTGGCCTATGGACTATTACTCCAACGATTCACTCGGTCCATGGACTAACAATAATGAAGCAAACAGGCCCAAAAGAGAAAAGCGGAGACCTCATATTGTGGTCCGAGCAGAAGCATCGTAGTTTTTCGTCGGTTTCTTGTTATTTCCTTTGTTGTTCAGTACTTTTTGTTTCCAAGTTGTCTTTTCATAAATGTTATCTCTCATTATTCTATAAGTGAAGTTGATCTTGTTATATCCATATCTATTCAGATACCTGATCTTTCAACTTTCCAGCCGACTTAAATCTATTTTAAATCTTTCACAGTTCTCCGAAACGCGTGGTGCTGAACTGAATAGATGTGTAAGCCTCCTACCGTATTTTGAATGTTTGGATCAGCTTTAAATTTCAGATTTCAACGAAGACAAAGCGAAAGCGATTGGAACGAGATTCGAAGGTGGTAAACTGGCCAAAAAGGTTCATAAAAGTATCGAACAACTGAAAAGGCATGATCCAGATGTAGAGGTTTCCTCCGAACCAACCAAGGTGAGTCTTTTTTTTGCGATTCGAAGTAAATATTATATAAGTTTTCAGTTTCTATTGGTAAGCAACAGCAGCATCCTCTGCAGTGTCACATTAGAAGAACTGGAAGAAATCTTCATTCCCCTTGATGAGAAAGCCGAGTTCATCGTATATCCGAACAAGAGATCCTACTCGTTCGTTCAATGCTCATCCATTGAAGCTGCTCAGATTGTTCGAAAGGAACTTCACGGACTCATTCCTCCCCAACTCAAAGTTTCTCATCAGCCGTTCATTATTTCATTCGTTTGTAACTGTATGTTTAATGTCAAAGACTAGTCATCAAAATGTGGAAATTATAGTGCCTGAAGCCAAGAAATGCGAGATGTTTCGTCCTGCAAATTTGAAACTCGTGGAAGACTATGTATCTGAAAACCTCGAAAACGATTTAGTAAAGTTGCTCACAAATCACCCAAAAGGTAGTAATCTCTTCTTCCAAAATTTTTGAGCGAAATATTATTTTTAAGTTCAATCACTCAAGCACCGAGCTGTTGTTCATTTTGGTCACGTCTTCGACTACAATACGAACTCTGCCTCAGAGTGGAAAGAAGCTGAACCAATTCCGCCTGTCATTGAAGCTCTCATTGACAGGCTCATTTCGGACAAATACATTACAGAGAGATCAGATCAAATTACTGCAAACGTTTATGAACCGGGACATGGTATTCCATCTCATTATGACACACATTCTGCATTCGATGATCCTATCATCTCAATTAGGTTTTCAGACATATGATTCGATATTCGAATTCTGATAATTTCAGTCTTCTTTCTGATGTGGTAATGGAGTTCAAAGATGGTGCAAATTCGGCTCGAATCGCTCCCGTTCTTCTTAAAGCAAGATCGTTGTGTCTGATTGAAGGAGAATCCAGATACCGTTGGAAGCATGGAATCGTTAATCGAAAATATGATGTGGATCCGAGAACGAACCGAGTAGTTCCTCGGAAAACTCGTGTCTCCCTGACACTTCGTAAAATTCGTCGAAAACCATGTGAGTGCCAATGGAAGGAGTTTTGTGATTGGGATCGAAAAGGTAGTTGACATTTTTCAGTTCAACCAGAATTCCTAAAATTTTTCAGGAGAAATGAGTGTGCCATCGAGCGAAGATCTTGCTATGAAATTAGAGAATTCTTATGTTTCAAATGTTTATGAGAACATTGCATCTCACTTCGATGAGACCAGACATTCGGGTTGGAAAGCTGTCAAAAAATTCATAGACGAGATTCCTCGTGGAAATCTGATGTATGATGTTGGATGTGGAAACGGAAAGTATCTTATTCCTAAAGATGGACTTTTCAAAATCGGATGTGATATGTGTCTGGGTTTGTGCGAAATCGCATTGAAGAAGGATTGTTACATTGCACGATGCGATGCGCTCTCTCTGCCGTTTCGCGACACATCAGCTGACGCCGCTATCTCGATTGCAGTTCTCCATCACATAGCAACGTTCGAGAGACGGAAACGAATGATCGAGGAATTGCTGAGAGTTGTGAAACCGGGCGGTATGATATGCGTGACTGTCTGGTCTATGGATCAAAGCCAATCGGAGTATGCAAAGATGCGCAGTAATAAGGATGAGGTTAATGAGGAAATCAAAAATACAGATCGACTGAAAATTCATGATGGAAAAGATTTTCAACAACAAGATGTGTTGGTTCCTTGGACAATGGATCAGAAAGGGGAAACTTTTCTACGGTATTATCATGTGTTCAGGGAAGGAGAAGCAGAACAGTTGGTTGACAGTGTTGATGGCTGCGAGCTAGTCAGCATCGAGAAGGAGCAAGGCAACTATATCCTTGTTATTAGAAAGATCTGAAACATAATTCATTGTTGACATTTTTCATAGTACCTTTGTTGTTTTTTTTTGTTATTAACTAATGGCGCGTTCAAAGTTGATTTCCAGGAGTAATTTCCTGGAAAAACGCTGTCCAAAGCTGCCATTGTATTTCAGAGGCCTCCGCTTCGAGACCCGCCGTAAATCGACATGAATCAACAGGAAGAAGACATTCAAAACGAGTGA